TGTTGTGGTTTCAGTAGTTGTTGTGTCAGTTGATGTTGGAGTTGGCTGAGCTGTTGTGGTTTCAGTAGTTGTAGTGTCAGTTGATGTTTGAGTTGGCTGAGCTGTTGTATTTTCAGTAGTTGTAGTGTCAGTTGATGTTTGAGTTGGCTGAGCTGTTGTAGTTTCAGTAGTTGTTGTGTCAGTTGATGTTGGAGTTGGCTGAACTGTTGTGGTTTCAGTAGTTGTAGTGTCAGTTGATGTTGGAGTTGGCTGAACTGTTGTGGTTTCAGTAGTTGTAGTGTCAGTTGATGTTAGAGTTGGCTGAGCTGTTGTAGTTTCAGTAGTTGTAGTGTCAGTTGATGTTGGAGTTGGCTGAGCTGTTGTAGTTTCAGTAGTTGTAGTGTCAGTTGATGTTGGAGTTGGCTCAGCTGTTGTAGTTTCAGTAGTTGTAGTGTCAGTTGATGTTGGAGTTGGCTGAGCTGTTGTGGTTTCAGTAGTTGTGGTGTCAGTTGATGTTGGAGTTGGCTGAGCTGTTGTAGTTTCAGTAGTTGTAGTGTCAGTTGATGTTGGAGTTGGCTGAACTGTTGTAGTTTCAGTAGTTGTAGTGTCAGTTGATGTTAGAGTTGGCTGAGCTGTTGTAGTTTCAGTAGTTGTAGTGTCAGTTGATGTTGGAGTTGGCTGAGCTGTTGTAGTTTCAGTAGTTGTAGTGTCAGTTGATGTTGGAGTTGTCTGAACTGTTGTAGTTTCAGTAGTTGTAGTGTCAGTTGATGTTGGAGCTGTCTGAACTGTTGTAGTTTCAGTAGTTGTAGTGTCAGTTGATGTTGGAGTTGTCTGAACTGTTGTGGTTTCAGTAGTTGTAGTGTCAGTTGATGTTTGAGTTGGCTGAGCTGTTGTGGTTTCAGTAGTTGTAGTGCCCTCTGATGTTTGAGTTGGCTGAACTGTTGTAGTTTCAGTAGTTGTAGTGTCAGTTGATGTTAGAGTTGGCTGAGCTGTTGTAGTTTCAGTAGTTGTAGTGTCAGTTGATGTTAGAGTTGGCTGAGCTGTTGTAGTTTCAGTAGTTGTAGTGTCAGTTGATGTTTGAGTTGGCTGAGCTGTTGTAGTTTCAGTAGTTGTAGTGTCAGTTGATGTTAGAGTTGGCTGAGCTGTTGTAGTTTCAGTAGTTGTAGTGTCAGTTGATGTTTGAGTTGGCTGAGCTGTTGTGGTTTCAGTAGTTGTAGTGCCCTCTGATGTTTGAGTTGGCTGAACTGTTGTAGTTTCAGTAGTTGTAGTGTCAGTTGATGTTTGAGTTGGCTGAACTGTTGTAGTTTCAGTAGTTGTAGTGTCAGTTGATGTTAGAGTTGGCTGAGCTGTTGTAGTTTCAGTAGTTGTAGTGTCAGTTGATGTTGGAGTTGTCTGAACTGTTGTAGTTTCAGTAGTTGTAGTGTCAGTTGATGTTGGAGTTGTCTGAACTGTTGTAGTTTCAGTAGTTGTAGTGTCAGTTGATGTTGGAGTTGGCTGAGCTGTTGTATTTTCAGTAGTTGTAGTGTCAGTTGATGTTTGAGTTGGCTGAGCTGTTGTAGTTTCAGTAGTTGTAGTGTCAGTTGATGTTGCAGTTGTCTGAACTGTTGTGGTTTCAGTAGTTGTAGTGTCAGTTGATGTTGGAGTTGTCTGAACTGTTGTAGTTTCAGTAGTTGTAGTGTCAGTTGATGTTGCAGTTGGCTGAACTGTTGTGGTTTCAGTAGTTGTAGTGTCAGTTGATGTTGGAGTTGTCTGAACTGTTGTAGTTTCAGTAGTTGTAGTGTCAGTTGATGTTGGAGTTGGCTGAGCTGTTGTAGTTTCAGTAGTTGTAGTGTCAGTTGATGTTGGAGTTGGCTGAACTGTTGTGGTTTCAGTAGTTGTAGTGTCAGTTGATGTTTGATTTGGCTGAGCTGTTGTATTTTCAGTAGTTGTAGTGTCAGTTGATGTTGGAGTTGGCTGAGCTGTTGTATTTTCAGTAGTTGTTGTGTCAGTTGATGTTGGAGTTGGCTGAGCTGTTGTAGTTTCAGTAGTTGTTGTGTCAGTTGATGTTTGAGTTGGCTGAGCTGTTGTGGTTTCAGTAGTTGTAGTGTCAGTTGATGTTGGAGTTGGCTGAACTGTTGTGGTTTCAGTAGTTGTAGTGTCAGTTGATGTTGGAGTTGTCTGAACTGTTGTGGTTTCAGTAGTTGTAGTGTCAGTTGATGTTGGAGTTGGCTGAGCTGTTGTAGTTTCAGTAGTTGTAGTGTCAGTTGATGTTGGAGTTGGCTGAGCTGTTGTAGTTTCAGTAGTTGTAGTGTCAGTTGATGTTGGAGTTGGCTGAACTGTTGTAGTTTCAGTAGTTGTAGTGTCAGTTGATGTTAGAGTTGGCTGAGCTGTTGTAGTTTCAGTAGTTGTTGTGTCAGTTGATGTTGGAGTTGGCTGAACTGTTGTGGTTTCAGTAGTTGTAGTGTCAGTTGATGTTGGAGTTGGCTGAGCTGTTGTAGTTTCAGTAGTTGTAGTGTCAGTTGATGTTGGAGTTGGCTGAGCTGTTGTAGTTTCAGTAGTTGTAGTGTCAGTTGATGTTGGAGTTGTCTGAACTGTTGTAGTTTCTGTAGTTGTAGTGTCAGTTGATGTTGGAGTTGGCTGAGCTGTTGTAGTTTCAGTAGTTGTAGTGTCAGTTGATGTTGGAGTTGGCTGAGCTGTTGTAGTTTCAGTAGTTGTACTGTCAGTTGATGTTGGAGTTGGTTGAGCTGTTGTGGTTTCAGTAGTTGTAGTGTCAGTTGATGTTTGAGTTGGCTGAGCTGTTGTATTTTCAGTAGTTGTAGTGTCAGTTGATGTTTGAGTTGGCTGAGCTGTTGTGGTTTCAGTAGTTGTTGTGTCAGTTGATGTTTGAGTTGGCTGAGCTGTTGTGGTTTCAGTAGTTGTAGTGTCAGTTGATGTTTGAGTTGGCTGAGCTGTTGTGGTTTCAGTAGTTGTTGTGTCAGTTGATGTTTGAGTTGGCTGAGCTGTTGTGGTTTCAGTAGTTGTAGTGTCAGTTGATGTTGGAGTTGTCTGAACTGTTGTAGTTTCAGTAGTTGTAGTGCCCGCTGTTGATTGAGTTGGCTGAGCTGTTGTAGTTTCAGTAGTTGTAGTGTCAGTTGATGTTGGAGTTGGCTGAGCTGTTGTAGTTTCAGTAGTTGTAGTGTCAGTTGATGCTGGAGTTGGCTGAACTGTTGTGGTTTCAGTAGTTGTAGTGTCAGTTGATGTTGGAGTTGGCTGAGCTGTTGTAGTTTCAGTAGTTGTAGTGTCAGTTGATGTTGGAGTTGGCTGAGCTGTTGTAGTTTCAGTAGTTGTAGTGTCAGTTGATGTTGGAGTTGGCTGAACTGTTGTGGTTTCAGTAGTTGTAGTGTCAGTTGATGTTGGAGTTGTCTGAACTGTTGTAGTTTCAGTAGTTGTAGTGTCAGTTGATGCTGGAGTTGGCTGAACTGTTGTAGTTTCAGTAGTTGTAGTGTCAGTTGATGTTGGAGTTGGCTGAGCTGTTGTAGTTTCAGTAGTTGTAGTGTCAGTTGATGTTGGAGTTGGCTGAACTGTTGTGGTTTCAGTAGTTGTAGTGTCAGTTGATGTTGGAGTTGTCTGAACTGTTGTAGTTTCAGTAGTTGTAGTGTCAGTTGATGCTGGAGTTGGCTGAACTGTTGTAATTTCAGTAGTTGTAGTGTCAGTTGATGTTGGAGTTGGCTGAGCTGTTGTAGTTTCAATATTTGTAGTGTCAGTTGATGTTGGAGTTGGCTGAGCTGTAGGACTGGTTGTAGTGGCTTTGGTAGTCGTGTTGAGTGAACTTATTACTGTTGTGTGTTTGGATAATTTGTAGAATAAAAATAACGGTTGAGAAAACTATTAATCTTCAGCAAAATACATAAAAAATATTGTTTACAACCACTACAAACAACTATAGTTTAATAACAATAAAGAGTAACATAGAGTTTACCAAACCGTTTTGAATGACATTGCATTGATGATATTGCTTGTTTGACTTACCATTAACACTGGTGATGTTAAGAGTGTTGTTGCTATTTAAAATGGCATCGGATATATTTGTTTCACTGGTTAAGGTTCTAAATGTTACAGCCATGTCAGTGATGATTGATCCAGAACTACAGAAGGGATGTGGAAGAGAAAGAGTCATTGTCATTTTTTTTAAATGTAAGACTCAGTGCACAAACTCTCATAGGCATTTTGTGTTCATGCAGCTATTATTGTTATCTTGTGGTTTTATACAAATCTGTCAAATGCTGTTAATAACAAAATATAGATGATTCTAAAAAAACATCTGACGGTTGCTGATTTATTTTGCCTTAGTGTACCAGTAGATATTTAGATTTACAAATTGCTTTTGCAAGTTTTGGAATAATCTTGACATGTTTTGTTTTATAAATAAGGAGCCCAACAACTGATGGTACAGCCCACACTGAGATCTCATCTCACCATCATTAATTCCATCTGGGATTACATGAAGAGACACAAGCAATTGAGACTAAAGCCGACATCCAAAGAACTCTGAAAGCCTTTCCAAGATGCTGGAACAACCTGCCAGCAAATTACGGCACTGTTTAAAAGTGAATGTCCATTAAGCGAATCAAGTCAGTGTTTGGTGTGATCACACTTTGCCTTCAAAACAACTCTTTCCTATGAGTTTTTAAGGTTGGTTGTTCCAAGCATCTTGAGGAGAGTAGTCATAGTTCTTCTATGAATTTATGGGTTTAGCCTCAGTTGTTTCTGTGTCTTCCATGTAATTCCAGATTGACTTGATAATGGTGGGATCAGATCTATGTGTGGTGCACATCTTCTGTTGTAAGACTCCTTGTTCATACAAAAATATCCCTGAATTATTACAACATTTGTAATAGGAATGTTTGGAAATCTACAATTGTTATTTCTAACTTGTCCACTAAAGCAATATATATATATATATATATATATATATATATATATATATATAGCTGTCTAGACTGTAGAGATTTTTGTTTCCCAAAAAGAAAATGTATTCTTATAATAAGGAAAGAAATACCCACCGGAACGAGATAACTTTCAATTTAACGAAGGAGCTACCGAATGCCTTTTCAAAGATTGGCTTAATCTGTGGAAAACAGATTCACAATGTCAGGTTCAACATTAGTTACACATTTCAATGTCAGTCAAAAACCTACAATATGAAAGACATTTGGTGGTCATTAATTATGTTTTACATGATCTGTCACGGTTCATGATTCCACTGACTCTTTGTCTTCCCCTGTGTGTGTGTGTGTGTGTGGCCGCAGATTACCACTGATCTGATCATTAGCTGGCTGTCTGTGTGTTCCCTGAGTTAAGTGTCTGGATTACGGATTGTGTCTTCCTGATCTCTCTTCCTTCTTCCACGGAGGATCGGGTTGCCCATTCGTGTCCCTGCGCTGCCGAGAAAGACTGTTTCCGGGCACCTCTATTTCATCTGACCCTCGGCGTCTACTCTTACTTTGTTCTTGAATAAACTTTATTGTTTGCACACTTGCTACTGAATCCTCCGTCATTTGTTACCTGACAATCTGCAGTTATTGTTTCCAAATTTAAGTGCATATTAACATTTACTGTAATAGTCTACTCTTTAGTTCTTGTTCAACAGTGTACTTTAAAGTGCACCTGTTATTCTTTTTTAGGTCAAAAACACATTATTTTCACATAATATACATTGCACATCACCTCATTTCTCAAAGAGTCTGAAAACAGTTTGTTTGACAATTCAGTCTCTCTAAACCCCTCCTTTCTGCAAGCCTACTCTGCACTGATTGGTCAGATGGCCCAGTCTGCTGTGATTGGTCTACCGCTTACAATGTGCGTAGGAAACAAAACGCCTATTAGCATATCTGAATTCCAGCTCTTCCTCAGCTCTTGATACACAGTGATACAAACAGTAACGATGGCGTGAGTTTTACCGTATCAATCTCATCAAAGTGGATTTGCTTTGTCAGCAGAAAACAGCGTCTTCTCGACACGAACCAAACTCTTCCAGCCTCAGATAAACTACAGTGTTTGAGGGCGGGGCTAAGAGACGCTATTCAGCCAATCAAGACCACAGGCTGGCATTATGCAAATTAGTTACAAACCTACGCGGGTTCAGCAGGAAGTGAGACTGAATTACTGACGATTAGTTTCCAAGGGGGTAATCCACCAGCCGGAAACTGAAGTCTCCCCGGGCGCCGCCATTGGCTAGCAGACCATCACCTGCTGTTAGCATCCCATTGACTCCCATTCATTTTGGCGTCAATTTGACAGCGAATAACTTTACATCTGAGGCGTTTAAAGACTCCATTTGTCCATTGTTTATTTCTAAAGAAACACGACAATGTATAAAAGGCTCCATTACCTTGTATCGTACGTTATGGCCCCGTAGAAGCAGTTTTTGTAAAAATAGGCTAACGATTGCGTCATAACACGCGACTCTCTGTCGCACAGTAGAGAAATTACCGTATAGACAGGAGGAGAAGCTCGCGCGCAATCGGGGGGACGTGGAGGCATAAAGTCAAGGGAGAAGCCCATAGAGAGTCATAAAGTTGCTCTGCTAGCTCATGGACAGCTCCTACTCACGCTCTCCGGCTCTGTGAGATCCGGAAGGGAATGATTCAGATTCCTCTTGGCACAGCTACTAGAAGACTTACAGCTGTCAGACAGGCTCACGTCACATCTCTGTCGTCAAGCTCAGTGTGAGCCGGCGCAGTCGCTCAGCCATCGGGAAGAGAGTGCTTCTAATGGGCTTCACTTTTCTCCGTTGAAATCTATGGGGTTTGCTCTGTCCATTTCTTTTACTGTCTATGTTCGTTTCAGGCAGGCCTATTTTTTCTGTTGTTGTTGCTTTATTATTTCTGTTGTTATTGTTATGTATTCACTTATTTTTTCAGCTCATAACTTTTGAACCATTTGGTGTAGCAATTTAGTTTTTTCCCCTCTTTATCCTTGTTCAATAGACCACCCGAGTGACCAGTGAGGGGTTTTTAATGATCAATGTCTTTATCACTTAAGTCTTCCACAATGAATTTAAAGGGGTGGTTGATTATGATTTCACTTTTCTAACTGTAGTTAGTGTGTAATGTTGCTGTTTGAGCATAAACAACATCTGCAAAGTTACAACGCTCAAAGTTCAAAGCAAAGGAAGATATTTGCTTTTAAAGAAATCATTTTTCAGGACTACAACAAACGGCTGGTAGGGACTACACGACATTTCTCCCGGGTTAGTGACATCACTAACCCAAAAATTTACATAAACCCCACCCCCGGGAACTTGCAAGCAACAAAGGTAGTGTTGAGAAGAGGTAGAGTTGTTGTAGTCGAGCACATTTGTGAGTCTGCTCAAGCTGTCGCATCAGTCTTTTCACATGCAATACAGTACGTAACACAAATGCCAATGGTGGAGAGACTCAAGAATGTCACTCTGTAGGCATCTTACAACAGTTCCCGCACAAGCGATTTTATAGTTTTTCATTGCAGAATATGCTAATTAAAGATAGTTAACTCCACATCAGCAACATAAATTCATCAACTAACCATGCAGAAACGTCCTGTTGCATTCTACATGTTGTCACTTCTTCTTGAGTCTCTCCACCATTGACCGACTCCAGTTTAAACATAAAAGGCTGAATAGTTTCTGACATTTTAGTGTGCCTGCGTGAGGTAATCAGAGCTGCGAACTCTTGAAGCTCCGCCCCCTGTGCCGGGAGCAGCAGCTCATTTGCATTTAAAGGGTCACACACGAAACGACACGTTTTTACTGACCCTCAAAAAGGGACAATTTTAACGTGCTGTAAAAAAATATCTGTGGGGTATTTTTAGCTAAAACTTCACATACACACTCTGGGGACAACAGAGACTTATTTTACATATTGTAAAAAGTGGCATTATACCACCCCTTTAACTTAGGATGGAGTGCTTCAACTCTTAGCCATGGCTCCGTTTCCCAAAAGCATCGCAAGCCTAAGTTGATCGTAGAACAATTGCATGGATCTCCTTGTATGGATTTACCTGTGTATGTATTAAAATACTACCTACTACCTTCATCTTTGTGTTTTTGTGCGTTTACCTAACTCAAACCTTTTTTTTTTTTTTTTTTTGCTGATCCATAAAATGATTCCATCCGTGACTCAAAAACCACAATATGATCCGAACTGCGAGTTTTGTAATTTTGTAATTTCCAGATTTTACTTTCACTACTCTTTGGTTGTGGTTCAACGGATCACACCACTATTAAGTAGTGAAAGTAAAACCTGGACTAGAAATTATTAAAATAACAGCAAGTTGATATTTACACCTGGACGCAAATAAAAAAGAACACAATTTGCACATAAATAACATACATTACATATGTTGGGTGCAAATAGTTTACACTAATATTTATATTAGGGTTCAAAATAAAATGCTTAATTCATTAAAATGGAAGAATGTTACCATTTAGTTTGCAGTGCAAATCGCATGTGCCTTAAACATTGATCATACAACTTACCTCATTTATGACTTTGCTTTCTCTGGCTTTAAATACTTCTGATGATGAATTTGACAGTGCAGGCACAAAATTTTCATTGCTGGAAAACCTAACTAGAACTGTAGAGGTTAAAGGAGTTGTGACCGTTGTTTCAGTTGTAGAAGTAAGTTGTGTTGTCGTTGCGGTTAGAGGGGAAGAAGTCGTAGCTGCAGTGTGTGTTGTTTGAGTTGGCTGAGCTGTTGTAGTTTCAGTAGTTGTAGTGTCAGTTGATGTTTGAGTTGGCTGAGCTGTGGTAGTTTCAGTAGTTGTAGTGTCAGTTGATGTTGGAGTTGGCTCAGCTGTTGTAGTTTCAGTAGTTGTAGTGTCAGTTGATGTTGGAGTTGGCTGAGCTGTTGTGGTTTCAGTAGTTGTAGTGTCAGTTGATGTTAGAGTTGGCTGAGCTGTTGTAGTTTCAGAAGTTGTAGTGTCAGTTGGTGTTGGAGTTGTCTGAGCTGTTGTAGTTTCAGTAGTTGTAGTGTCAGTTGATGTTGGAGTTGGCTGAGCTGTTGTGGTTTCAGTAGTTGTAGTGTCAGTTGATGTTGGAGTTGGCTGAACTGTTGTAGTTTCAGTAGTTGTAGTGTCAGTTGATGTTTGAGTTGGCTGAGCTGTTGTGGTTTCAGTAGTTGTAGTGTCAGTTGATGTTTGAGTTGGCTGAGCTGTTGTAGTTTCAGTAGTTGTAGTGTCAGTTGATGTTTGAGTTGGCTGAGCTGTTGTAGTTTCAGTAGTTATAGTGTCAGTTGATGTTTGAGTTGGCTGAGCTGTTGTAGTTTCAGTAGTTGTAGTGTCAGTTGATGTTTGAGTTGGCTGAGCTGTTGTGGTTTCAGTAGTTGTAGTGTCAGTTGATGTTGGAGTTGTCTGAACTGTTGTAGTTTCAGTAGTTGTAGTGTCAGTTGATGTTGGAGTTGTCTGAACTGTTGTAGTTTCAGTAGTTGTAGTGTCAGTTGATGTTTGAGTTGGTTGAGCTGTTGTAGTTTCAGTAGTTGTAGTGTCAGTTGATGTTGGAGTTGTCTGAACTGTTGTAGTTTCAGTAGTTGTAGTGTCAGTTGATGTTGGAGTTGGTTGAGCTGTTGTAGTTTCAGTAGTTGTAGTGTCAGTTGATGTTGGAGTTGGCTGAACTGTTGTAGTTTCAGTAGTTGTAGTGTCAGTTGATGTTGGAGTTGGCTGAACTGTTGTAGTTTCAGTAGTTGTAGTGTCAGTTGATGTTGGAGTTGGCTGAGCTGTTGTGGTTTCAGTAGTTGTAGTGTCAGTTGATGTTGGAGTTGGCTGAGCTGTTGTGGTTTCAGTAGTTGTAGTGTCAGTTGATGTTGCAGTTGGCTGAGCTGTTGTAGTTTCAGTAGTTGTAGTGTCAGTTGATGTTGGAGTTGGCTGAGCTGTTGTGGTTTCAGTAGTTGTAGTGTCAGTTGATGTTGCAGTTGGCTGAGCTGTTGTAGTTTCAGTAGTTGTAGTGTCAGTTGATGTTGGAGTTGGCTGAGCTGTTGTGGTTTCAGTAGTTGTAGTGTCAGTTGATGTTGGAGTTGGCTGAGCTGTTGTAATTCCAGTAGTTGTAGTGTCAGTTGATGTTGGAGTTGGCTGAGCTGTTGTAGTTTCAGTAGTTGTAGTGTCAGTTGATGTTTGAGTTGGCTGAGCTGTTGTGGCTTCAGTAGTTGTAGTGTCAGTTGATGTTGGAGTTGGCTGAGCTGTTGTGGTTTCAGTAGTTGTAGTGTCAGTTGATGTTGGAGTTGGCTGAGCTGTTGTAGTTTCAGTAGTTGTAGTGTCAGTTGATGTTGGAGTTGGCTGAGCTGTTGTAGTTTCAGTAGTTGTAGTGTCAGTTGATGTTGGAGTTGGCTGAGCTGTTGTGGTTTCAGTAGTTGTAGTGTCAGTTGATGTTGGAGTTGGCTGAGCTGTTGTAATTCCAGTAGTTGTAGTGTCAGTTGATGTTGGAGTTGGCTGAGCTGTTGTAGTTTCAGTAGTTGTAGTGTCAGTTGATGTTTGAGTTGGCTGAGCTGTTGTGGCTTCAGTAGTTGTAGTGTCAGTTGATGTTGGAGTTGGCTGAGCTGTTGTGGTTTCAGTAGTTGTAGTGTCAGTTGATGTTGGAGTTGGCTGAGCTGTTGTAGTTTCAGTAGTTGTAGTGTCAGTTGATGTTGGAGTTGGCTGAGCTGTTGTGGTTTCTGTAGTTGTAGTGTCAGTTGATGTTTGAGTTGGCTGAGCTGTTGTAGTTTCAGTAGTTGTAGTGTCAGTTGATGTTGGAGTTGGCTGAGCTGTTGTAGTTTCAGTAGTTGTGGTGTCAGTTGATGTTGCAGTTGGCTGAGCTGTTGTGGTTTCAGTAGTTGTAGTGTCAGTTGATGTTGGAGTTGTCTGAACTGTTGTAGTTTCAGTAGTTGTAGTGTCAGTTGATGTTGGAGTGGGCTGAACTGTTGTAGTTTCAGTAGTTGTAGTGTCAGTTGATGTTGGAGCTGGCTGAACTGTTGTAGTTTCAGTAGTTGTAGTGTCAGTTGATGTTGGAGTTGGCTGAGCTGTTGTGGTTTCAGTAGTTGTACTGTCAGTTGATGTTGGAGTTGGCTGAGCTGTTGTGGTTTCAGTAGTTGTACTGTCAGTTGATGTTTGAGTTGGCTGAGCTGTTGTGGTTTCAGTAGTTGTAGTGTCAGTTGATGTTAGAGTTGGCTGAACTGTTGTGGTTTCAGTAGTTGTAGAGTCAGTAGATGTTTGAGTTGGCTGAGCTGTTGTGGTTTCAGTAGTTGTAGTGTCAGTTGATGTTAGAGTTGGCTGAACTGTTGTGGTTTCAGTAGTTGTAGTGTCAGTTGATGTTGGAGTTGGCTGAGCTGTTGTAGTTTCAGTAGTTGTAGTGTCAGTTGATGTTGGAGTTGTCTGAGCTGTAGTGGTTTCAGTAGTTGTAGTGTCAGTTGATGTTGGAGTTGGCTGAACTGTTGTAGTTTCAGTAGTTGTAGTGTCAGTTGATGTTTGAGTTGGCTGAGCTGTTGTGGTTTCAGTAGTTGTAGTGTCAGTTGATGTTGGAGTTGGCTGTGCTGTTGTAGTTTCAGTAGTTGTAGTGTCAGTTGATGTTGGAGTTGGCTGAGCTGTTGTGGTTTCAGTAGTTGTAGTGTCAGTTGATGTTGGAGTTGGCTGAGCTGTTGTGGTTTCAGTAGTTGTAGTGTCAGTTGATGTTGGAGTTGGCTGAGCTGTTGTGGTTTCAGTAGTTGTAGTGTCAGTTGATGTTGGAGTTGGCTGAGCTGTTGTGGTTTCAGTAGTTGTAGTGTCAGTTGATGTTGGAGTTGGTTGAGCTGTTGTGGGTTCAGTAGTTGTAGTGTCAGTTGATGTTGGAGTTGGCTGAGCTGTTGTGGCTTCAGTAGTTGTAGTGTCAGTTGATGTTGGAGTTGGTTGAGCTGTTGTGGGTTCAGTAGTTGTAGTGTCAGTTGAGGTTGGAGCTGGCTGAACTGTTGTAGTTTCAGTAGTTGTAGTGTCAGTTGATGTTTGAGTTGGCTGAGCTGTTGTGGTTTCAGTAGTTGTAGTGTCAGTTGTTGTTGCAGTTGTCTGAGCTGTTGTAGTTTCAGTAGTTGTAGTGTCAGTTGATGTTGGAGTTGGTTGAGCTGTTGTGGGTTCAGTAGTTGTAGTGTCAGTTGATGTTGGAGCTGGCTGAACTGTTGTAGTTTCAGTAGTTGTAGTGTCAGTTGATGTTGGAGTTGTCTGAGCTGTAGTGGTTTCAGTAGTTGTAGTGTCAGTTGATGTTGGAGTTGTCTGAGCTGTAGTGGTTTCAGTAGTTGTAGTGTCAGTTGATGTTGGAGTTGGCTGAACTGTTGTAGTTTCAGTAGTTGTAGTGTCAGTTGATGTTGGAGTTGGCTGAGCTGTTGTAGTTTCAGTAGTTGTACTGTCAGTTGATGTTGGAGTTGGCTGAGCTGTTGTGGTTTCAGTAGTTGTAGTGTCAGTTGATGTTGGAGTTGGCTGAGCTGTTGTGGTTTCAGTAGTTGTAGTGTCAGTTGATGTTGGAGTTGGCTGAGCTGTTGTGGTTTCAGTAGTTGTAGTGTCAGTTGATGTTGCAGTTGGCTGAGATGTTGTGGTTTCAGTAGTTGTAGTGTCAGTTGATGTTGGAGTTGGCTGAGCTGTTGTGGTTTCAGTAGTTGTAGTGTCAGTTGATGTTTGAGTTGGCTGAGCTGTTGTGGTTTCAGTAGTTGTAGTGTCAGTTGTTGTTGCAGTTGTCTGAGCTGTTGTAGTTTCAGTAGTTGTAGTGTCAGTTGATGTTGGAGTTGGCTGAGCTGTTGTGGTTTCAGTAGTTGTAGTGTCAGTTGATGTTGGAGTTGGCTGAGCTGTTGTGGTTTCAGTAGTTGTAGTGTCAGTTGATGTTGGAGTTGGCTGAGCTGTTGTAGTTTCAGTAGTTGTAGTGTCAGTTGATGTTGCAGTTGGCTGAGCTGTTGTGGTTTCAGTAGTTGTAGTGTCAGTTGATGTTGGAGTTGGCTGGGCTGTTGTGGTTTCTGTAGTTGTAGTGTCAGTTGATGTTTGAGTTGGCTGAGCTGTTGTGGTTTCAGTAGTTGTAGTGTCAGTTGATGTTGGAGTTGGCTGAGCTGTTGTAGTTTCAGTAGTTGTGGTGTCAGTTGATGTTGCAGTTGGCTGAGCTGTTGTGGTTTCAGTAGTTGTAGTGTCAGTTGATGTTGGAGTTGTCTGAACTGTTGTAGTTTCAGTAGTTGTAGTGTCAGTTGATGTTGGAGTTGGCTGAACTGTTGTAGTTTCAGTAGTTGTAGTGTCAGTTGATGTTGGAGTTGTCTGAGCTGTAGTGGTTTCAGTAGTTGTAGTGTCAGTTGATGTTGGAGTTGTCTGAACTGTTGTGGTTTCAGTAGTTGTAGTGTCAGTTGATGTTGGAGTTGGCTGAGCTGTTGTAGTTTCAGTAGTTGTAGTGTCAGTCGATGTTGGAGTTGTCTGAGCTGTTGTGGTTTCAGTAGTTGTAGTGTCAGTTGATGTTGGAGTTGTCTGAGCTGTAGTGGTTTCAGTAGTTGTAGTGTCAGTTGATGTTGGAGTTGGCTGAACTGTTGTAGTTTCAGTAGTTGTAGTGTCAGTTGATGTTTGAGTTGGCTGAGCTGTTGTGGTTTCAGTAGTTGTAGTGTCAGTTGATGTTTGAGTTGTCTGAGCTGTTGTGGTTTCAGTAGTTGTACTGTCAGTTGATGTTGCAGTTGGCTGAACTGTTGTAGTTTCAGTAGTTGTAGTGTCAGTTGATGTTGGAGTTGGCTGAACTGTTGTAGTTTCAGTAGTTGTAGTGTCAGTTGATGTTGAAGTTGGCTGAACTGTTGTAGTTTCAGTAGTTGTAGTGGCAGTTGATGTTGGAGTTGTCTGAACTGTTGTGGTTTCAGTAGTTGTAGTGTCAGTTGATGTTGGAGTTGGCTGAGCTGTTGTAGTTTCAGTAGTTGTGGTGTCAGTTGATGTTGGAGTTGTCTGAACTGTTGTGGTTTCAGTAGTTGTAGTGTCAGTTGATGTTGGAGTTGGCTGAGCTGTTGTAGTTTCAGTAGTTGTAGTGTCAGTTGATGTTGGAGTTGGCTGAGCTGTTGTAGTTTCAGTAGTTGTAGTGTCAGTTGATGTTGGAGTTGGCTGAACTGTTGTAGTTTCAGTAGTTGTAGTGTCACTTGATGTTGGAGTAGGCTGAGCTGTTGTGGTTTCAGTAGTTGTAGTGTCAGTTGATGTTGGAGTTGGCTGAGCTGTTGTGGCTTCAGTAGTTGTAGTGTCAGTTGATGTTGGAGTTGGTTGAGCTGTTGTGGGTTCAGTAGTTGTAGTGTCAGTTGAGGTTGGAGCTGGCTGAACTGTTGTAGTTTCAGTAGTTGTAGTGTCAGTTGATGTTTGAGTTGGCTGAGCTGTTGTGGTTTCAGTAGTTGTAGTGTCAGTTGTTGTTGCAGTTGTCTGAGCTGTTGTAGTTTCAGTAGTTGTAGTGTCAGTTGATGTTGGAGTTGGTTGAGCTGTTGTGGGTTCAGTAGTTGTAGTGTCAGTTGATGTTGGAGCTGGCTGAACTGTTGTAGTTTCAGTAGTTGTAGTGTCAGTTGATGTTGGAGTTGTCTGAGCTGTAGTGGTTTCAGTAGTTGTAGTGTCAGTTGATGTTGGAGTTGTCTGAGCTGTAGTGGTTTCAGTAGTTGTAGTGTCAGTTGATGTTGGAGTTGGCTGAACTGTTGTAGTTTCAGTAGTTGTAGTGTCAGTTGATGTTGGAGTTGGCTGAGCTGTTGTAGTTTCAGTAGTTGTACTGTCAGTTGATGTTGGAGTTGGCTGAGCTGTTGTGGTTTCAGTAGTTGTAGTGTCAGTTGATGTTGGAGTTGGCTGAGCTGTTGTGGTTTCAGTAGTTGTAGTGTCAGTTGATGTTGGAGTTGGCTGAGCTGTTGTGGTTTCAGTAGTTGTAGTGTCAGTTGATGTTGCAGTTGGCTGAGATGTTGTGGTTTCAGTAGTTGTAGTGTCAGTTGATGTTGGAGTTGGCTGAGCTGTTGTGGTTTCAGTAGTTGTAGTGTCAGTTGATGTTTGAGTTGGCTGAGCTGTTGTGGTTTCAGTAGTTGTAGTGTCAGTTGTTGTTGCAGTTGTCTGAGCTGTTGTAGTTTCAGTAGTTGTAGTGTCAGTTGATGTTGGAGTTGGCTGAGCTGTTGTGGTTTCAGTAGTTGTAGTGTCAGTTGATGTTGGAGTTGGCTGAGCTGTTGTGGTTTCAGTAGTTGTAGTGTCAGTTGATGTTGGAGTTGGCTGAGCTGTTGTAGTTTCAGTAGTTGTAGTGTCAGTTGATGTTGCAGTTGGCTGAGCTGTTGTGGTTTCAGTAGTTGTAGTGTCAGTTGATGTTGGAGTTGGCTGGGCTGTTGTGGTTTCTGTAGTTGTAGTGTCAGTTGATGTTTGAGTTGGCTGAGCTGTTGTGGTTTCAGTAGTTGTAGTGTCAGTTGATGTTGGAGTTGGCTGAGCTGTTGTAGTTTCAGTAGTTGTGGTGTCAGTTGATGTTGCAGTTGGCTGAGCTGTTGTGGTTTCAGTAGTTGTAGTGTCAGTTGATGTTGGAGTTGTCTGAACTGTTGTAGTTTCAGTAGTTGTAGTGTCAGTTGATGTTGGAGTTGGCTGAACTGTTGTAGTTTCAGTAGTTGTAGTGTCAGTTGATGTTGGAGTTGTCTGAGCTGTAGTGGTTTCAGTAGTTGTAGTGTCAGTTGATGTTGGAGTTGTCTGAACTGTTGTGGTTTCAGTAGTTGTAGTGTCAGTTGATGTTGGAGTTGGCTGAGCTGTTGTAGTTTCAGTAGTTGTAGTGTCAGTCGATGTTGGAGTTGTCTGAGCTGTTGTGGTTTCAGTAGTTGTAGTGTCAGTTGATGTTGGAGTTGTCTGAGCTGTAGTGGTTTCAGTAGTTGTAGTGTCAGTTGATGTTGGAGTTGGCTGAACTGTTGTAGTTTCAGTAGTTGTAGTGTCAGTTGATGTTTGAGTTGGCTGAGCTGTTGTGGTTTCAGTAGTTGTAGTGTCAGTTGATGTTTGAGTTGTCTGAGCTGTTGTGGTTTCAGTAGTTGTACTGTCAGTTGATGTTGCAGTTGGCTGAACTGTTGTAGTTTCAGTAGTTGTAGTGTCAGTTGATGTTGGAGTTGGCTGAACTGTTGTAGTTTCAGTAGTTGTAGTGTCAGTTGATGTTGAAGTTGGCTGAACTGTTGTAGTTTCAGTAGTTGTAGTGGCAGTTGATGTTGGAGTTGTCTGAACTGTTGTGGTTTCAGTAGTTGTAGTGTCAGTTGATGTTGGAGTTGGCTGAGCTGTTGTAGTTTCAGTAGTTGTGGTGTCAGTTGATGTTGGAGTTGTCTGAACTGTTGTGGTTTCAGTAGTTGTAGTGTCAGTTGATGTTGGAGTTGGCTGAGCTGTTGTAGTTTCAGTAGTTGTAGTGTCAGTTGATGTTGGAGTTGGCTGAGCTGTTGTAGTTTCAGTAGTTGTAGTGTCAGTTGATGTTGGAGTTGGCTGAACTGTTGTAGTTTCAGTAGTTGTAGTGTCACTTGATGTTGGAGTAGGCTGAGCTGTTGTGGTTTCAGTAGTTGTAGTGTCAGTTGATGTTGGAGTTGTCTGAACTGTTGTGGTTTCAGTAGTTGTAGTGTCAGTTGATGTTGGAGTTGGCTGAGCTGTTGTAGTTTCAGTAGTTGTAGTGTCAGTTGATGTTGGAGTTGGCTGAGCTGTTGTGGTATCCGTAGTTGTAGTGTCAGTTGATGTTTGAGTTGGCTGAGCTGTTGTAGTTTCAGTAGTTGTAGTGTCAGTTGATGTTTGAGTTGGCTGAGCTGTTGTAGTTTCAGTAGTTGTAGTGTCAGTTGATGTTAGAGTTGGCTGAGCTGTTGTGGTTTCAGTAGTTGTAGTGTCAGTTGATGTTTGAGTTGGCTGAACTGTTGTAGTTTCAGTAGTTGTAGTGTCAGTTGATGTTGGAGTTGACTGAGCTGTTGTGGTTTCAGTAGTTGTAGTGTCAGTTGATGTTGGAGTTGGCTGAGCTGTTGTAGTTTCAGTAGTTGTAGTGTCAGTTGATGTTTGAGTTGGCTGAACTGTTGTAGTTTCAGTAGTTGTAGTGTCAGTTGATGTTGGAGTTGACTGAGCTGTTGTGGTTTCAGTAGTTGTAGTGTCAGTTGATGTTGGAGTTGGCTGAGCTGTTGTGGTTTCAGTAGTTGTAGTGTCAGTTGATGTTGGAGTTGTCTGAACTGTTGTGGTTTCAGTAGTTGTAGTGTCAGTTGATGTTGGAGTTGGCTGAACTGTTGTAGTTTCAGTAGTTGTAGTGTCAGTTGATGTTGGAGTTGGCTGAGCTGGTGTGGTTTCAGTAGTTGTAGTGTCAGTTGATGTTGGAGTTGGCTGAGCTGTTGTAGTTTCAGTAGTTGTAGTGTCACTTGATGTTGGAGTTGGCTGAGCTGTTGTGGTTTCAGTAGTTGTAGTGTCAGTTGATGTTGGAGTTGGCTGAGCTGTTGTAGTTTCAGTAGTTGTAGTGTCAGTTGATGTCTGAGTTGGCTGAGCTGTTGTGGTTTCAGTAGTTGTAGTGTCAGTTGATGCTGGAGTTGGCTGAGCTGTTGTAGTTTCAGTAGTTGTAGTGTCAGTTGATGTTGCAGTTGGCTGAACTGTTGTAATTTCAGTAGTTGTAGTGTCAGTTGATGTTGGAGTTGGCTGAGCTGTTGTAGTTTCAGTAGTTGTAGTGTCAGTTGATGTTGGAGTTGGCTGAGCTGTTGTAGTGTCAGTTGATGTTTGAGTTGGCTGAGCTGTTGTGGTTTCAGTAGTTGTAGTGTCAGTTGATGTCTGAGTTGGCTGAGCTGTTGTGGTTTCAGTAGTTGTAGTGTCAGTTGATGTTTGAGTTGGCTGAGCTGTTGTGGTTTCAGTAGTTGTAGTGTCAGTTGATGTTGGAGTTGGCTGAGCTGTTGTGGTTTCAGTAGTTGTAGTGTCAGTTGATGTTGGAGTTGGCTGAGCTGTTGTAGTTTCAGTAGTTGTAGTGTCAGTTGATGTTGGAGTTGGCTGAGCTGTTGTAGTTTCAGTAGTTGTAGTGTCAGTTGATGTTGGAGTTGGCTGAGCTGTTGTAGTTTCAGTAGTTGTAGTGTCAGTTGATGTTGGAGTTGGCTGAGCTGTTGTGGTTTCAGTAGTTGTGGTGTCAGTTGATGTTGGAGTTGGCTGAGCTGTTGTAGTTTCAGTAGTTGTAGTGTCAGTTGATGTTGGAGTTGGCTGAACTGTTGTAGTTTCAGTAGTTGTAGTGTCAGTTGATGTTGGAGTTGGCTGAGCTGTTGTAGTTTCAGTAGTTGTAGTGTCAGTTGATGTTGGAGTTGGCTGAGCTGTTGTAGTTTCAGTAGTTGTAGTGTCAGTTGATGTTGGAGTTGGCTGAACTGTTGTAGTTTCAGTAGTTGTAGTGTCAGTTGATGTTGGAGTTGGCTGAGCTGTTGTAGTTTCAGTAGTTGTAGTGTCAGTTGATGTTGGAGTTGGCTGAGCTGTTGTAGTTTCAGTAGTTGTAGTGTCAGTTGATGTTTGAGTTGGCTGAGCTGTTGTAGTTTCAGTAGTTGTAGTGTCAGTTGATGTTGGAGTTGTCTGAGCTGTTGTAGTTTCAGTAGTTGTAGTGTCAGTTGATGTTGGAGTTGTCTGAACTGTTGTAGTTTCAGTAGTTGTAGTGTCAGTTGATGTTTGAGTTGGCTGAACTGTTGTAGTTTCAGTAGTTGTAGTGTCAGTTGATGTTGGAGTTGTCTGAACTGTTGTAGTTTCAGTAGTTGTAGTGTCAGTTGATGGAGTTGTCTGAGCTGTTGTAGTTTCAGTAGTTGTAGTGTCAGTTGATGTTGAAGTTGGCTGAACTGTTGTAGTTTCAGTAGTTGTAGTGTCAGTTGATGTTGGAGTTGGCTGAGCTGTTGTGGTTTCAGTAGTTGTAGTGTCAGTTGATGTTGGAGTTGTCTGAACTGTTGTAGTTTCAGTAGTTGTAGTGTCAGTTGATGTTGAAGTTGGCTGAACTGTTGTAGTTTCAGTAGTTGTAGTGTCAGTTGATGTTGGAGTTGTCTGAACTGTTGTAGTTTCAGTAGTTGTAGTGTCAGTTGATGTTGGAGTTGTCTGAACTGTTGTAGTTTCAGTAGTTGTAGTGTCAGTTGATGTTGAAGTTGGCTGAGCTGTTGTAGTTTCAGTAGTTGTAGTGTCAGTTGATGTTGGAGTTGTCTGAACTGTTGTAGTTTCAGTAGTTGTAGTGTCAGTTGATGTTGGAGTTGTCTGAACTGTTGTGGTTTCAGTAGTTGTAGTGTCAGTTGATGTTAGAGTTGGCTGAGCTGTTGTAGTTTCAGTAGTTGTAGTGTCAGTTGATGTTGGAGTTGGCTGAACTGTTGTAGTTTCAGTAGTTGTAGTGTCAGTTGATGTTGGAGTTGTCTGAACTATTGTAGTTTCAGTAGTTGTAGTGTCAGTTGATGTTGGAGTTGTCTGAACTGTTGTAGTTTCAGTAGTAGTAGTGTCAGTTGATGTTGGAGTTGTCTGAACTGTTGTAGTTTCAGTAGTTGTAGTGTCAGTTGATGTTGGAGTTGTCTGAACTGTTGTAGTTTCAGTAGTTGTAGTGTCAGTTGATGTTGGAGTTGTCTGAACTGTTGTAGTTTCAGTAGTTGTAGTGTCAGTTGATGTTTGAGTTGGCTGAACTGTTGTAGTTTCAGTAGTTGTAGTGTCAGTTGATGTTGGAGTTGGCTGAACTGTTGTAGTTTCAGTAGTTGTAGTGTCAGTTGATGTTGGAGTTGGCTGAACTGTTGTAGTTTCAGTAGTTGTAGTGTCAGTTGATGTTGGAGTTGGCTGAGCTGTTGTGGTTTCAGTAGTTGTAGTGTCAGTTGATGTTGGAGTTGGCTGAACTGTTGTGGTTTCAGTAGTTGTAGTGTCAGTTGATGTTGGAGTTGGCTGAGCTGTTGTAGTTTCAGTAGTTGTAGTGTCAGTTGATGTTTGAGTTGGCTGAACTGTTGTAGTTTCAGTAGTTGTAGTGTCAGTTGATGTTGAAGTTGGCTGAACTGTTGTAGTTTCAGTAGTTGTAGTGTCAGTTGATGTTGGAGTTGGCTGAGCTGTTGTGGTTTCAGTAGTTGTAGTGTCAGTTGATGTTGGAGTTGTCTGAACTGTTGTAGTTTCAGTAGTTGTAGTGTCAGTTGATGTTGAAGTTGGCTGAACTGTTTTAGTTTCAGTAGTTGTAGTGTCAGTTGATGTTGGAGTTGTCTGAACTGTTGTAGTTTCAGTAGTTGTAGTGTCAGTTGATGTTGGAGTTGTCTGAACTGTTGTAGTTTCAGTAGTTGTAGTGTCAGTTGATGTTGAAGTTGGCTGAGCTGTTGTAGTTTCAGTAGTTGTAGTGTCAGTTGATGTTGGAGTTGTCTGAACTGTTGTAGTTTCAGTAGTTGTAGTGTCAGTTGATGTTGGAGTTGTCTGAACTGTTGTGGTTTCAGTAGTTGTAGTGTCAGTTGATGTTAGAGTTGGCTGAGCTGTTGTAGTTTCAGTAGTTGTAGTGTCAGTTGATGTTGGAGTTGGCTGAACTGTTGTAGTTTCAGTAGTTGTAGTGTCAGTTGATGTTGGAGTTGTCTGAACTATTGTAGTTTCAGTAGTTGTAGTGTCAGTTGATGTTGGAGTTGTCTGAACTGTTGTAGTTTCAGTAGTAGTAGTGTCAGTTGATGTTGGAGTTGTCTGAACTGTTGTAGTTTCAGTAGTTGTAGTGTCAGTTGATGTTGGAGTTGTCTGAACTGTTGTAGTTTCAGTAGTTGTAGTGTCAGTTGATGTTGGAGTTGTCTGAACTGTTGTAGTTTCAGTAGTTGTAGTGTCAGTTGATGTTTGAGTTGGCTGAACTGTTGTAGTTTCAGTAGTTGTAGTGTCAGTTGATGTTGGAGTTGGCTGAACTGTTGTAGTTTCAGTAGTTGTAGTGTCAGTTGATGTTGGAGTTGGCTGAACTGTTGTAGTTTCAGTAGTTGTAGTGTCAGTTGATGTTGGAGTTGGCTGAGCTGTTGTAGTTTCAGTAGTTGTAGTGTCAGTTGATGTTGGAGTTGTCTGAACTGTTGTAGTTTCAGTAGTTGTAGTGTCAGTTGATGTTGGAGTTGGCTGAACTGTTGTGGTTTCAGTAGTTGTAGTGTCAGTTGATGTTGGAGTTGGCTGAGCTGTTGTAGTTTCAGTAGTTGTAGTGTCAGTTGATGTTTGAGTTGGCTGAACTGTTGTAGTTTCAGTAGTTGTAGTGTCAGTTGATGTTGGAGTTGGCTGAACTGTTGTGGTTTCAGTAGTTGTAGTGTCAGTTGATGTTGGAGTTGGCTGAGCTGTTGTAGTTTCAGTAGTTGTAGTGTCAGTTGATGTTGGAGTTGGCTGAACTGTTGTGGTTTCAGTAGTTGTAGTGTCAGTTGATGTTGGAGTTGGCTGAGCTGTTGTAGTTTCAGTAGTTGTAGTGTCAGTTGATGTTTGAGTTGGCTGAACTGTTGTAGTTTCAGTAGTTGTAGTGTCAGTTGATGTTGGAGTTGGCTGAACTGTTGTAGTTTCAGTAGTTGTAGTGTCAGTTGATGTTGGAGTTGGCTGAACTGTTGTGGTTTCAGTAGTTGTAGTGTCAGTTGATGTTGGAGTTGTCTGAACTATTGTAGTTTCAGTAGTTGTAGTGTTAGTTAATGGTTCTGCTGTAATGTTATTGGCACTACAATAAACTGTTGCTAAAAAAACAAAGTAACCGTCATTATAGAGCAACTGTCACACTTATATAAGTAATAAGGGAAATAAAGAATTTTCATGATCAGTAACTTACGTACCTAAGCTTAACACTGTAATGATCAGTGCTTTTCTACTCATCTTGGTAGCTGTCAAATAGCTCACCTAAAAACATAGAACACATAAGATCAGAACATACATGAGGAAATGCATCCTGAGATCAAATTTGACATGTCAGTGACAGTGGAAAAATAAAAAAACCTTATGAATACAAACACCCTCTTTCCAGCACAGGAACCTTTTTTTGTCTGTATATCCAAAAATATTTGTCATTTTGAACAGTGCACATTAAGATGAAAGTAGTTATCATAAATAACAAGAAAACAACGGAAGAATTGCAGTTCTATTTAGAAGTTTGAAGTTAGTAAGATTTTAAATGTTTTTGAAAGAAGCCTCTTCTGCTTACCAAGGCTGCATTTTAGGGCAGTTTCACAATATCACCACAGGGTGGCAATATCACAATATCACTACAGGGTGGCAGTATCACAATATCACCACAGGGTGGCAGTATCACCACAGGGTGGCAGTATCACAATATCACCACAGGGTGGCAGTATCACAATATCACCACAGGGTGGCAGTATCACAATATCACCACAGGGTGGCAGTATCACCACAGGGTGGCAGTATCACAATATCACCACAGGGTGGCAGTATCACAATATCACCACAGGGTGGCAGTATAACAATATCACCACAGGGTGGCAGTATCACCACAGGGTGGCAGTATCACAATATCACCTCAGGGTGGCAGTATAACAATATCACCACAGGGTGGCAGTATCACCACAGGGTGGCAGTATCACAATATCACCACAGGGTGGCAGTATCACCACAGGGTGGCAGTATCACAATATCACCTCAGGGTGGCAGCAATAGGTTTAAGTCCAGGTGTAACGGTAAACCGTGAGTGAGTGGCCTTTGTCGGCTTTGGCTTTTGGCTTGCTTAGTCGGGGACACTTAATATTCAATAACATTATTGATCTTTAACAAAGATTAATTTATATTACATTTATACAGTGAAGAATATGCAGTGTTATTTTACATTTTATTATTCAAATTGTGTCCCTAAATATCATTAGGCTTACCTGAAAAACATAAAGCACTGTTTATTGAATTTGTATCTTCGTTCCATTGTATTTATCTATGCTTGCAATTTGTTTATTATTTTCTATGCAGATTATTCCACTACAAAATCACCTAATCTTATTATTCATTCTTTTCAAATAGAGCTTTTCAAGTAACTTGGTGAAATTGTTTTCATATCGCAATATAAATCGCAGAAAAACAAAATATCGCAATATCAGTTTTTTCCAATATTGTGCAGACAAAAACAGACAAATATTATTACGGTTTTAATCATCTGTTCTCTATGTGAATATACAGTAAAGTGTAATTTATTCCTGTGATCAAAGCTGAGTTTCAGCATCATTACTCCAGTCTTCAGTGTCACATGATCCTTCAGAAATCACTCTAATATGAGGATCTGATGCTCAAGAAACATTTATGATTATTATCAGTGTTCAAAATTTCTGTAAAAACGGTCACTTTATAGAATCCTTTAAAATGACAAAATTGCATTTCTTAAAAAAAAAAAAAAAAATTCATACTGATCCCATACTTTTAAACGGTAATGCATAATGATGGTAAGACCAAAATGATGAAATTAAGTCATTACACTACAGGTGTCTTCAAGCCAACATCAAGAGTTTTATATGCTATCCTAAAACTTAAATTCAGCGAAATTACATACATTTAGATTCAAGAAATTAGAAATTAGATACATTTGAAGGTGTAGAACATTTGTTGAACTTCCTCATGCTATCCTTATTGTTAAATTTGCATTTATTATAGTATCCTATTGCATTTATTTTGTTTTATCTTTAATATCTGGAGAAATTTAAGAAAATCACTCCAACTGCATCTTCAAATTGAAACTATTTAATACTAATTTTACTTAAATGAACCGCTTATTACAGTCGCTGTTGAAGTGACAGCCATTTCTTACAATGTGCATGGAGCATAAAGTCTGATTCTGTTATAACTCTCAACCAAAAAAAGGCTTAATTGAGAAAATTAAGAAATATTGTATGGTTAATTATGATTATGAGTATAAATAATGATGGTAATAGTAATATTTAATAACTCACCCGGAGCATTGCTTATCTGAGTGTAATATCCTCCACTGTGAGACCTCTGATAGACGTGTCTAAAGTAGCATGCTCTCCTCAAAGTCCTTGTCTTTATTAGCTCCGAGTCACATGACACAAACACATAGTTGTCTCTCTGAGTGGTTTGTTCATTATTACATTCCATCTTTAACCAAACTGGATTTACCTACTTATACAACAATGCATTCCTCCCTAAGCATGCGGTTTTGTGAAGTATCCCATGGAAAGGTCAATGGAAAGGGTGTGTTTCGCTGTCAGGTGTTTTACTTCAAATGATTAAACCCATAAAACAGACTACATCATGTAGCAGGCTGCTTAATCCCTTTTACAGAGCAGCGTCCATTACGTTTGTTGATCATTTGTTTATTTAAGTGATCATATAATGTGATACCTATTTCAAGCGTGTGCATTTGCAGCTTCTGTAGACCTCGATGGCTTTACTTGTGTGGATGAATAAACACTGAAGGAGAACATGCACAATGTGAGAGATTGATATTAGGGTGAGTAGATGATGCCAGAAATACAGATTTGAGGCTAATTATCCCTCATTAGGGCGGAGTGAACGAAGAAATACATTTTATTGGTGCATTTACATTGACTAAACATTGGATCATAAACAACAAATACAATAAAAACATTAATCCCTAACCTTAAAAAATTAACATTTTAGTTTAATAAAGATTTCCTAAAACGATTATATTACAATTCATACTCTGTGTGCAACACGGGTCAGCTAAAACTGTGAGAACTCCTGATATTACCTTTCCCTGCAATCTTCACTGCAGTTTTAACTTCAAACTTGCTTTAAAATCAAGGAATCATCAGAAACAATGCTGATCTCCGTCTGAGCTTCACTGCTGGACTAGAGCTCATCTGGCCGTGTCGTCGAGATTCATAACTCTGATCATAACTCTGATAAAGTTGTAGTGCAGGTTTTCATGATAATATGTAATGTTATCAATCCATGCGAGTCTTTCAAAGACGATTCTTCAATTTGGATTCTTCCAAGTTGTTCTACAGGTTTCATGTTTACTCGTCCTTTTGAAACTCATCGAGATTAAGCCAGGATTAGGCCACATTTATAAACGTGCCGTAGTAAAAACACGACTGGTGTGCATTTTGAGACAAAACAGTGACATATATGAAGATATGTTTTCAGATAAAGTCTGAACTGTCTACAGTTTAAGCCTGATCTGAGAGCTGTTTGCATATCTGTCTATCTGCTAGTCAATCAGAATGTGCTTTTCTCATAAAAAAAAAAAGAAGATTTCATAGGGTTTTCATTTATTAAATTAGTGGATGCTTTTATCCAAAGCAACTTACAAATGAGGAAAATCACAAGCAGTTTGTCGTAAGAGTCAACCCTATTCATACTCATTGTTAAGAGCATTTCACAGCTAATAGACTAAGTAAAGTAATTACTAAATTAAGTCAATTTCACTGATAATTACAAAGAAAATGCAAACAACACAATAAATGAAATGGGAAAGACTGAATTAGTATTTTCTTGTAAAGCGTAGATACTCCAGATATCCGGTAACTTATAGTACAAAGTATTACAAAGGTGAAATGTAGAAAAGAGAAATGTTTTCTGGTTATGAATTGTCTGTGTTGCATGACAGGTTTTAACATTAAACTGTATCACTATAACCAGTGCTGTAGATACATATATTACACATATTTCTATATATGATACATACTGTATTATATTTGATATTTTGTTGAAATGGAAGATAGTCTTCATGCAACATTAAACCGGTTCTTCGAAATGTGTTTCCTGGTTTTTTTTGTTCCGGTCTTTGCGTGTTTGTTTGCTGGGTTGTTATAATCATATGATCTGACTGACGGTGAAATAACTGGAATAGTGAAACTAAAACATCTTATATGGTCAGGCTCTTTCTGGCCCAGAGTTTCTGTTCTTCAGTAGATTTGTGTGACTGTTTCATGGTCTTGACACTGTGGTCATGATTGTGACTTGATTCACCAGTGGGTAATTAAAGGTGATGATTTTAAACATGGGTTGTGAGTTATCAACGTTTCCTTCTCTGGTGATGTTGTTTTGTGATGGCGAGTGTGTTCGATCTGTTGGGATTGAAGGCATGTGCTTTGACGAGGAGCCTGTGATTGTACTGGGGTCGTTTCGCTCTGGTTGAATGGATAAACCCAAAGTTGAGTCTCGGGCTTCATAAGCTAATGTGGTGGTCCCAGGTTCAGGAACAGAGATCGAGTCATTGCTTTGCTGAGTGGTTGGACATATTGCGGACGTGTCCATTGATATTGGCTTGGAATCCGGAGTCACTCCTTGTCTTGAAACTGTTCCCTGTAAAGAAAATGAAAATGGTTGAATGTGACCATTTGAAGTTACCACATATTGTAGGGTAAAAAGGTTGTAACACTTTACTTGAAGGGGTGTGCATAAGACTGACATGACACTTTCATAATCATGACATGACGCATGGTTTTATGCATGTTTATGACAACTGTGTCATTCGCACAATTATGACAAATATAAATATGACATGTTTGAGATGTCTTTGTTATGACAACTTGACATAAACCAATAAATCATAACCTGTCAGTGTCTTTGTCATGCCGACTTGACATTACCAAGACAACACAACCTGTCAT